CATACGCTAAACTCACCGCAAAACATGTAGCACTCTTTATCGAAAGAAATATTATTTGTCGATACGGAGTCCCACATGAAATGATAAGTGACAATGGAACTCACTTTCAAGCCGAATGTGAAGAATTGCTACAGAAATATGGCAATCAACATCATCATTCTTCCCCTCGTAAACCTCAGGCAAATGGAGCAGTCGAGGCAGCTAATAAAAATCTAAAGACTATCATCGAGAAAATGACGAAAAATTACAAGGATTGGCCTGACAAACTTCACTTCGCATTGTGGGGATATCGCACGTCAATTCACACAATAACAAGAAATACACCATTTTCCTTGGTTTATGGAATGGATGCCGTACAACATGTCGAACTAGAGATTCCATCTCTACGTATCGCATTAGAAAGAAAACTCGATGAAGTTGAATGGACTAGGGCAAGATATGAGGAGCTAATTCTACTTGATGAAAAACGACTAGAAGCTCTACATCATACTCAATGTTACCAAACTCGTATGGATAGGCATTTTAATAAGAAGGTCAAGACACGAAACATCAAAGTAGGAGACTTGGTGTTAAAAGCATTAAGGAAAAATGTTTTAGATCCAAGGGGAAAATTCAGACCTAATTGGTCTGGACCCTTACATTGTCAAAACAATTTTGTCAGGAGGTGCAGCAAAATTAACTGACATGGATGGCAATGAGTTCTCAAACATGACAAATATTGACCAACTTAAGAAATACTACCCATAATTACTTGAGTAGGATACTCAAAAGAGCTACGTTTGGCCTGATTCCTTAAGAAAAGATACGTAGGCAACCCTTTATGGGTGCGGCCACTTTATTTTTTTTCAAATCTAGCATCCCAGACTTAATAATAAATTCAACAGAAGATCGACGAAATATCGGCGTCACAGAAAAACATTAGCGTCGGACGACAGCCTCCGTCGCCTAACGCCAGACTACCGCAGCTAGCGCCAGTCGCAGAATTGTGGCGCTGTAGGGAATAATTTCAAGCCTTTAAAATCCCACTAGCTTGAACCCCATTGTGATCACACACTAAAGTACGGTGGCGTCCAAAAGGGAAGAAGATAGAGCAAAAGAGTCGCCAACAAGTTTTTAAGGAACTTGTAAACCGTTCACGAGGTAAAGGTTACACCCCTTAACGATCCAAGAGATCGTCAACTCCATAAGGTCATGAACCAAATAAGGGTTCGGGGATGAAGGTACAAATCCAACCTAAAAGAGATTGAACCTGCCCTAATAATAGGCCTCTACTTTATTCTGCTCGTATTCATGTGCGCTTTCTGATTAACATGCAATCAATAGGATTAACCCTAAACCTGTTTAATCTATGTTGGTTGAATTTAATGCACACATAAACTATTATTGGTGATCACTTGAATTATAATCACAATTAACCTAACAAGATTATTAATTATCTTATTAAGCGTGATTGCAAATACCAATTCCCTTTAATCTGCAATAAAAGGTGATCAAGCAATAACAATATACAATAATATGCAACATAATAAATAATCATCATCAATCATAATCATAAATGTTAGAAAGAACATAGGAAGCATCATATTCTTAATCATGCTTAATATTAAAAACACCCTAGACATGATACTAGGAATCATAATAACAATAAACACATGATGTCTACATCATAAAATCAATAAAGTACTTACTTGGATGCCTCGTACCTCTTTCTAATTACAAAATACACACGTTAGTAACTTCAAGGAAAATAATAAACAAAGCAATTAAATTAAATAATTGAAAGAGAGATTTGGGACCAAACCCTCAGAAATTAAACCTTTCACGTCTAGGGAGAAGGCAACTTCGAATATGGCTAGGTGTATCAAGATCTTGTGAATGCGGAATTTTGTATAAAACAAGCAAAATAGAAAAGAATACTAAAGAATCAATGTTATTGATGATTGATGAACGAAAGATGATGAATGAAGAGAATTGATGAGAATTGGAAAATTGATGAGAATTGATTAATAGATGTAGATGACGAAGATAGTTGATAATTGGTGAATGAAAACGGAATTTTTGATACGATATTTATAGAGAAAAACATCCAAAAAAGATAATTTATCAAAACAGAGCCTGAAGATCGCAAAACCACCTTGGCGCCAGCCCTGGCTCATTGGCGCCAGGACCAGTGGCTAGCGCCAGGCGCCAATGGCTGGCGTCTGGCGCCAATCCTGATTCCAGGCGCCAAGGCCTGGGGTTGGACACCAAACTGGATTTCAACGCGTTTTCGAAAATCTGATAACTTTCCCGTACTGGAAGATAAAATAATATAATTTCAGTCGAAAATGCTATTTGATCTAATTAAAACTCTAAAGAATCCTAATTGAATTAAGAATGATAAGACCTTCTAGAATGTTCTAGAAGACCAACACCATTCCTAATTACATTAGGAATGATAAATCATATTAGGCCCTCCCCTAGATCATTGGGCCGTACTTAAAACTCAAATCGGGCCCAGTTTAGTAAATTGGCCATAAATTCCTCAATATTTATCGGAATTGGGCTTATAATATATCGTTGGAAAGGTCTTTGCAAGCCCCATCCTAATACACCACTATTGGACCCATATCATGGACCAACCAAACTGGATTGGCTGTTTTCTTAAAATAAAGTTTTCAAAAACAGAGAGAAGAGAAAAGAAAAGAAATAAAACTTTCCGCAACACTAGACCTTTCCACACTTTCGTTTCATTCGATTATGATCCGACGTGAAAGGCAATCATCACTGGGTTTGGTTTTGGGGAGACACAAATGGATGTCTGCAGAAGCCCCCACTTTGACTGAGTTTGGAGAAACGCAAGTTTCGAAAACGAAAGTCAAAGTATCGATAGGGACGGAGAATGATTCAGAACGTTCTGCGATCCTAAATCTATCTTGTAACGCCGATACCTGCAAAACTAGCATTAGTTAAACAGATAAATGAGTTAAGAAACGCGTATCTTGCACCATCGAGCACACGTCTCTGAAAGTAACCGATTGTTGCTGCTACTGCTGTTTTGATGACCTCCTGCAAGCTAGAGAATGTCATCCCGCTTGAAAACCGCTACGCCTTGTAACTGCTTCCAAATTAGAAGATTGCTTCACCTGAAACGATCCTCTCCGCTGTGATAATATTCCACGTCCAAGGGAATACCACCAAAGATTATTTCTCTTGAAACAATCCTCATCCGCATTGATAATATTCCACGTCCAAGGGAATACTATCGAAAATTGCTTCCCTTGAAACAATCCTCAGTTGTTTGTGACAACTCTCCACAATCAAGGGAACGCCGTCTTGCTGTTTGTTTTGACAATCTTCCGCAATCTAGGGAACGCCGTCGATCAATGTTGCTACATCTTGAGCCTTTTCTTGAATCATAGTGACAACCTTTCCAATCATAGCAAAAGTCGTCGAAGACTGCCCATCTCGTGCTATCTTCTCAAATCTTGGGTGACAACCTCCACAATCTTAGCGAATGCCGTCGAAGACCGCCCATCTCGTGCTATCTTCTCAAATCTTTGGTGACAACTTCCACAATCTTAGCGAATGCCGTCGAAGACCGCCCATCTCGTGATATCTTCTCAAATCTTTGGTGACAACTTCCACAATCTTAGCGAACGCTGTCGAAAATAACTTTACTTGAAGTCATCCTCATTTGATGCGATAATTTCCCAAGGAAAATACCGAAGATCCATGCCTGTCGATCCTTAAAAGTTCGCCTGAACTTTGCTTGTGCTATGCCTGTATGTCGGCGCTCTTTGCTCTTGAACCTGTATGTCGGTGCCCTACACTACAACAAATTATCACTTGTGCCACGAATTATGCCACGGAAATTCCAAATTCGTGGCATAATATCATCTAGCCACGAGAAAATTGAAATATGATACAACACCTAAATAAGAAGAATAATTTATGCCACGGGTATTTATTTTTCGTGGCAAATATCATACTTGTGCCACGAGCTGAGTAGTGTTTTTCCCGTGGCAAACTTTTCATTTGGGCCACGAGTAGTAGTTGTTTTTCCCGTGACAAACTTTACACTAGCGTAAAATAAATTATAGTTGTATATATGATCTATTTCCAATACACACTTAATTTTCTTTATAAATATCCTCAATTTTATTCTAAGTACGCTCAATTTAGGATTCTCCTGAACTATTGTTTATAGTTACTAAACCAGTTTTTGTTGGTATAGAATTACACTAGTAGAAAAAGCAATTAGGCAGAGAAATGCACTAGTTTTTTGGGGTTATTTTGGCCCTAAAGTGTCCAAATTGAGCTCAGATTTGGCAAATATGAAACATAATTACCTCGTTTTGCGTATTAATAAATTTCTCGATTTGCGTATTTACATTTTAATATGTAAAGCGAGGTATATAAGTTTGTTTATTGACAAATCTAATCTCAATTTGGTCCCTCTAGAACAAAATAGTCCCCCGAAATCTTTAACGGAACATGTTACAACTCGCAAAAATCAATAAAAAATATTAAAAATTGAAAAGTGGGCCCCACTAACGGAATTTTCTAACGGTGGGATAACGACAAAGTTATTATATACTCCCTTTGTCCCAGTTTACTTGCAACATTTTGACTGGACACGCTTGCCGATGCACATGTTTGACCGTTGATATATTTTATTATATATTTATATAAGTTATAAAAAGTTTACATCAAGAAACTATACATTAAAATAGACCCAACAACATCTTACATGATTACATTTACTTTCATATAATAGTTAAAAAAGATGGTCAAAGGGAGATGTGTGAATAGTGCAAAAAGTCAAACCGTTGCAAGTAATTTGGGACGGAGGGAGTAGTTATTAAATAAACTTGCGGGTTACTATATAAAAGTTTCAAAAAATAAGAGCACAACGTAGAATTTGTAAAAGTAGCGAGTTATATTGTAGAATTTCCCAATAAAATTTAGATTTTGTAGGCCCGATTTATATCAAATTGGTGTTAAAACATGGTAGTAATAAAATAGAAATCGGATTAAGGCATAAATAAAAGGAACCTAAATAAAAACACCGATTATCAAAAATGTGAAAAACTCAAAGTTAGCGGTTTTCATTTAACCTGTGCTTTGATTAATTTTCCAATTCCTTCTTCTCTGCTCTCAAAATTCATTCTAAACCCATACCCAGAAATGCTTCATCTCTCTCCTCTCACAATTTTCAAGTTTTTTTTCATGACTACATCTTTATAGTCTTTCTTAGCTTCACAATCAGTCAATCTTTCTCGTTTTTAGGGCGATGGACTGATGGTGGTGGTCGTGTCGGTGATTTTTAGGGACAAAATGAACCATTCCCTCATGTGGTTCCTCACCTCCACGGCGTTGTCCGTTTCACGGCTTTCGACCCATCATCCTCAACCATTGTCTGCAACTCCTGGATTCAATTCGATTAATAAGGTAGAAGTCAAATCAAATTTCCTCAAGATCGAAAACATCTATCCTTAATTCGAGCAAAATAGAAAAATACTAGACCTAATTTTGAGGCAATTTTGGTGCATTGATTCAAGGAACAACAAATTCGAATCAATTTCGAACCAAAAATCAGAAATTTGAGGTTAGGGTTTTTAATTTGATTTGATTTAAATTGATTTGCTTATTTGCTTTCAATGAAGCTCCACTGTTCGTGATTTAAAATCCCCCCTTTTTTCCCTTCCTTTTATTGGTTTTTTTAAGGTACTTGCTCAATTCGTACCTTCTTGATGAATGTATACAAATTTCAAGCGTTTTTTTTAATTTGGTGATTTTTGTTAATTTAAACAAATTATCTTAATGGATGTTTGTTATGTATATCTGCATTTTGAATTTAAATTCTGGTCATTTGTGATATACTGATATAGGTGGTTGTTGATGGTAGAAATTGATGCCTTGTAACCTTAGTTTGATTATAATGTGTTCTGAAACATAATAAATTGTTGGTAAAGGGTGAATAATTGACAGTCACCATTATCCTTGCCAATGCAAGATAAGCTAAGTAGTGAGATTGATGATTCCAGCTTATAGTAAACCGAATCTTTTTAATGAAATTGTTTGATGAGGAACAAGTTAATTGAGTGAAGATGTGAAATTATGAGTAAACTAATAAGATAAGGAACTTGATTTTGTTGCTATAAAACTATGATCTTAAATTGGTGTATTTGTATTGATGTTTTCTTTACTATCCAAGTTTTGAATATTTAATATAATGCTAAATTTGCAGTGATTAAAAAGTAGATGAAAAAATAGATAAATTGTCACAGAGTGAAAATTTTGGTTTGCAATCAGAAAGTGAGGCAAGAATGTAATCATGTAAGCCTTTTGTGCTAAAATAGGCAGGGGCTGATGTGACATTCATTCAGCACATGTGTATGGATTGACCTGATATTCCTAGTGCTTGAATACTGTTGTTTGTAAAATTCCCTGAGATGGTTGAAGTTTGATACAGATTCATGCTGAAAATTCTGATGAGGCCTAACTATGTACCAAATATAATAAATGCGAACTAGTGATCCAATTGTAATGGACTAAGTTAAAATGTACCTTTGTGTGGGGTATTTTGTGACATTTTTTTGAAATCCATGTATGACAGTCACCTTGTTCTAGCAAAATAGTTTTGGTAGAACTTATTTACTGGTAATAAGGCTAACTAAATTGACTAAGCATTTTTTTGTTTCAGTAAGTACACTTATGATGAGAGTTATCATATTGCTCCTACGTTCATAGTGCACTGCAGGGATATACATTAAAGATGTTGACTATTAGCTTTCCCATTTACATATTTTGTGGTTGTGTTAGATCATTTTTCTGAATTTTTTTTTTTTTTTTTTTTTTTTTTTTGAAATGCAACTACTCTAATACATCCTCTGTTGCTGACTCGAACCCTGCGATTCTGATGTGTTACATGGCTCAAATCAGTTGTTTGTTTGGCTGTTTTAGTGGATGTATGTGCTGCTGTAAATATTAATCTGGTTTGTGTGGCTGTTATAGTGAATGTATGTGTGGCTGCAGTTGCTCGTGGCTGGTGTTGCACTTTGCTGCTGCTGCTGCTGCTGTTGTTGTTGTTGCTGCACGATGTTTTGGTTCTGCTGTTGCTGATGTCTGCTCTTGATGCTCATTTTGCTCTGCTCCTGCTGATGTATCCTCCTGAGTCCTGATGCTGATGTTGCTATGCCCCTGCTATTGTGGTTATGCTCCCATTGTAATTTTATTTTTCTTGTATGTTTATTAAAGTGTAAAACATTATAGCTATTATATGTGCAAGTCTTTGTGGCAATGTTTATTAGCCACGGTAGAATTTGTGGCAGACAATTTGTTAGCCACGATAATATTTGTGGCAAGTGAACTTGTTTGCCACGTGTATATTCGTGGCATAAAAATTGAAATTTGCCACGACATCCATTTTTCCGTGGCAAATTCCTAGCCACGGCCTCTTGTGCCACGGGAGTAAATTTCAGAATTCATGTGGCTAAATTACATAGCCACGGAAATTTCAAACTTGTGCCACGATTTTGCTCGTGGCACAAAGGTCAATTTGTTGTAGTGCTATGCTCTTGAACCTATATGTCGGTGCTTTTTGCTAATGAGCCAATGCTTAGGCGCTTTAAGCTAAGTGAGACGATCTTTTCATCAGGTCGATCACTTTACGTAATCAAGCCGATTACTTAATCATGTCAAATCGCTTAGAGGGGCTAACTGGCGTACCAAGGAACCCGAAATTGCTGCATGAGGTCGAAATCATCTTCGAGCTCTGTTGTTGCTGAGATATCTCTGGAGCCAAGAATTGACCCTGTCGCTGAATGCTGTGATAGGGTCCTCCCTGTTCTGCTGCACCTGTGTTTATTTTGACTATAGAACTTTGCCAATCTCTTTAATCATCTTAGGGTTGACCAAAGGTTTAGCATTGCTTGACTCATTGACTTGACACGACTCAAGGTATAAGCTTGACTCGATGTGATTGACCGACTCGAGGTTGACTCAACTCAAAGTGTTTGACACATGTATTAGACTCAAATCAAAATGATATGACACGACATGACTCAGTGTGTACATGACTTGTGTGTCCATTGTAATGTGATCGTACGACTCGAAAAAAACAAAAAAAATTCGTCAATTGTGGAGGGTACCGACTTTCTCCCGAAAAAGAAAGACGCAAAAAAGAATCGAAAGTTTGAAGATGCATGTTGAATGAGCTTAGTCAAATGTCATTCGATACTATCTCTCAAGGTGCAAGGATTAATCCATCCTAGGCTATCTCAATGGTTGACTCCATGATGAAAGTATTTGGGTAACTTAGGCACGGAGGCTAAGTACTTCATGCTTCGTGATGCAATGACAATTATGAGTGATGAGTGATGCGACAAGGCATGCTTCAACGTTAAGATTTCATGACAAAGGGTTCCTAAGGGAAATATATTTGGTCATGTATGTGTGATGTGTGTGATAGTGACACTAAAGTTAGGCCGCAAGAGCTAAGTGTGTGGAAAAATATTATTGTTAGAAGAGCCAAATAATGGTGACTCTTAGGCTAGGTAAGCTAATGATGTAGGGATCAAGCCCCCAAGTCTAGCTCTAAATGAATAGGGATGAGCACAGGGGATCCCTTGATATGATCATGGTGTAAGTGTGTGAATGTGAATATGAAAGCATGTTTATTACGGCCGCACCTCGATGTGAAGTTGCCTACGTATCCGTTAGGAATCAGGCCGAACGTAGCTCTAGCCAAACCTCGCACAAGTGTGTATACCTCAAAAAGGTCTTTTTAAGGGCTGTAACATGGTTAGGCTAAAGGTTTAAAAAAGAAGGGGATAAAGGCTCAAGACCCTAGATAAGCCCCCAAGGTGTGTAACCTTGCTTTTGAACATTTGTATTTTTATGCTTGAGGTTTTCTACTCTTTTTTTAGCTCTTTCTTTTGCTTTAGCATTTATTTTATTTTAATAAGTGTGAGCAATCTCGATCATGCGGTCTATCACTCACTTGGCATTCATGTTTCTCAGGCACGATACCGAGCACTCGATAAGAGACGCAATCTGAGACATGTTCTTATCGAAGATACTTTCATATCAAAGACATTGGAACACTTACCCTTTTGTACACTTGTTGTCTTTTTTTTTATTATTATTGCTTATTATTTTTTTTGCTATTGCTTTCTTTTGAATTTGCTCAAGCTTTCTTTAGAATTGCATAAGTTACACACCATCCCATCCCAAGGTTAGGTAGATGTAGGTTGAAAAAAGAAGGGTCTATCGTTAGACGAGGCTCAAAGTGGTTTATGAAGAAAAGATTTGTAAATTAGAAAGGCGAAAGAAGATATGATGTGGCTACAAGGGGTGCCTCAAATCATTGGTATACCTTGTGCTTAGCTCGACATGGATCTTTTTTTTTTTTTTTGAATGCAATGTAATGAAATGATCATATTCAAGGAAATAAATGCTCATTTTATTAAAAAGGGAAAAAGGAAAAAAAAACTTATAAAATTAATCTAAAAGAAAAGAAAAGGTGCCTATGCTAGACTTATTGGGGAAAGGAAAAAAATGAAGAAGAAATAGAAAAAGAGGTCACGAAATCTTGTCGTTGCAGCTCGCCTCTTGTCTTGTGTCATTTGCTTCATCATCACCCAGTCTTCTTGTTAACTGGAGGCATGGGAAGCTTGTTATTATCAATCAAATGTTGGATAGCCTCCTTTAGTTTCCAACAGCTCTCAGTAGTATGACCCCTACCTTTATGGTACTTGCAGTGTTCGTCTGGATTCCAACTAGGCAATCTCTTTTCAGGTGCGGGATCTTGAATAGGTCCAATGGGAGTAATAAGTCCTTTGGCATGGAGTCGATCGAAGGCAGTATCGTAACTCATCCCAATGGGGGTGAAGTCTTTCCTTAGTTGCTTCTTAGATCCTTGGTTATCCATGGCTAAAACTTCACTGAGATCAAAGGTACTAACATTGTTACTAGAGTGGGCGTTTTCGGAAGAAGAAGGATTGTCGTTCTTCTTTCCTTTCCAGCCACCGTGGTTACTATTGTTAGTAGCTTTTTGCTTTGCAAGGTCATCTTCGATTTCAATTCCGATGTCATAAACGGCCTTGAAAGTATTCAAATTGTGTTGATATTTTAGGTGCTTCGAATACTTTTCTTGGAGATTCTTGATAAACATCCTCACGGAATCCTTTTCGGTGGGGACTTCAATCATCTTGGCGGAAGTTTCCCTCCACTTATTAAAGAAAGAAGTAAAACCTTCATTTTCTTTTTGTCTTAACATCTCAAGTTGTCTATGGTCGGTTTCAACTTGGATATTGCACTTGTACCTATCAACGAAAGCGTTCACGATTGATTCCCAGGTAGAGGTTTTCTCCTTGTCAAGGGAGAAGAACCATTTTTGGCAAAGGGTTTCAAGAGATAGTGGGAACAGAGAAGGGAAAACCTTCTTATCAATACCCTTAATGGTCATTATAGTTTCAAAAGCTCTTAAATGGAAGTAAGGATTATCTGTTGCCTAGAATTTTGGGATGTCGTAGGCATTGAACTTCTGCGGAAGAAGATCTTTGTCCACCGAGACCCCTTGTGATGTAAGCTCTTGAAACTTGTAATCTCTAGACAACTTGCTTAGGATCTCTTGCATGAGGTCCATCTGTTGTAGCTTCACGGGATCATCAACCTTGAGGGTGAGCAGCTTCAGTGTTTCAGTCATGGTAACCAATTGGTTCCTAAGCTCATTGACTTCTTCTTGAGTTTCCATTATCTTCTTAGCCTTCCTCTTTTGACGAATCGGTTTATCAAAAAGCGAGACTTGAATAAAGAGGTTGTCCTTGATTAATCGTCCTTCTCTCCTCGACCAAGTACTGTGGAAAGGAATTTGGGGATACTTATTGTTAATTATTTGACTCAAACTTTATTCTACATGCGATTGATGGAGGAAGTGAAGAAAAATTGGAATAGAATGTGAAGAAAGAATTAAATGGAGGGATATGAAGAACTAGGAATAAAATGTACCCCCAACTTAAACGACGGAAAAGACCGACTCATGCATGAACCTAAGACATGGCCATGGTGATGTGTACTCAAAGTGTGTGCTAAGACTAGTGAGTGTAGGTGACATGTTAAGACTCGTGTCATGACCATGTGACCAAGACTCGATTAATGACTTGACAAGGTGTTATTGACAGCGAAAATTAACCGAATTAATTAGAAAACTGGTTAATTAGACATTAGGTGACGACTCGATAAATAATCCGAACTGTCGGCCAAGCGACAGGACTGGCGTCACAATATGGTGGTTGGCGCCAGACTTTTTAGTAAATGTCTCGCGCTACACACCATATAGTGGCGCTACAGCTCAGATTTTGGCACCAATATTGGAGCCTCGGTCTGGGACTGTTTTCGATATTATTAGTCAACTGGGGTATGCCTAAAGTCGTATTAGGTCAATTCCGATTAAAAGAAGAAAAAATTTTATTGACTCAAATCAATTAATTAGGTAAAGTTCTTTAAGTCATTAATTATAATCTCAACACAAATAAACAAACGGTTAAGAGTAACATGGAATATATATGCACAACAAATAATGCACAATTAGTCAAGTAGGCACAATATGATGCAATGAGTTCGCAACCTAACCATGGCTCTAGTTCTCTAAAGTTCAGGATATGGTTTAGTCAAATAGGGTCCATGGTTAATTGTCCAGATGGACCGCGTAGAAGCCTAACCGTGAAGGGTTAACGCGTGTGGATAGGACACCGCGAATTTTTAGAAAAAACTCGCTTCCATGGTTTGGTGAATTCAACCTCTCAGATGTACCCTTTGTTGCCAGGAGCGTTCAATCGGGTAGATAGAGCATGAATTCCCAGAGGGTTATGTCCATATGTAGAACACATATGGGTTTCAGAAAAGTGAGAAAAAATTCAATCAGGAAGTAGGATCGAGCAAACAATACGAAAAACCGGTCGAAATTAGAACGCATATTTCTGGCTCGGTATTGGGGGAAATTGGAGCCAGCAAACAGAGACTGGCGCCAACTTTTAATTGTAGTGCCTGACGCCAATACTGGCGTCTGGCGCTACGGCAAAAAGTGTGGCGCCAAGCTCTGGCCCCTGACGCTACTTCCCACATGCCTCAGCAGCTTTCTGTGCTCAATAAAATCATACAGTTTCGCGCGGTGTTATTTCAGTCCTAGTTGTGAAAGACATTTCTCCAATTTCCTACGTGTAAAATCCTATGTTTTTGACTCATTACGGATGGTCTTTCCAATGAGAACCTTTTTATGCATATGACACAATGTTAATC